GGGGCACAGCTGACACAGAGCACTGGAAGGGGCACAGCTGACTCAGAGCACTGGGAAGGGACACAGCTCACTCAGGGCTACAGGGCACTGGACGGGGCACAGCTGGCCCTGGCCTGCAGCCTGTTTTCCTCCTTGTTCTTGCATTGAGCAGCAGCCGTCAGATCGCTCAGTTTTGTGGTTCTGTTCTTCCCACTGAGCCCTGCTCCGTTTTCTTTCTCCACCTCCCCCGTGCTTTGGTTTGCTCTCCTAACCAAACCTGGACACTTTCTATTCCATGTAGCCTCATACATGGGCAAACAATGTTTTTTTCTTTATTAATTAAATAATTTTACTTTTATATGTACGACTGCTTTGCCTGTATGTATGTGCATGTACCACATGCTTGCCTGGTGCCCAAGGAGGCCAGAGGAGGGCATTGGGATCCCCTGGAAGTCAAGTTATAGGCAATTGTAAGTTACCATGTGGGTGCTAGGAATTGAACCCAGGTCTTCTGGAAAAGCAGCCAGTGTTCCTACCCACTGAGCCTTCTCTCCAACCCCACAATATTTTATTTTATTTTTTTTATTGTGAGAGTGACTGTACTTTATCTGCGTAATTTTAAATGTGTGTAGCTAGCTACATAATATTCCCTACCCTTTCCAAAACTGGGCGCAATTCATCGCTTACTGTCAGATGGAAGCGAGCTCTAGGGCATTTGTCTGCAGCACTTCAGGAATCTGATCGTTGTTGCTCCTGCAGCACTGGACCCTCAGGAAAGCTTCTGAAAAATAAATAATAAGATTATCTGTAGTCATCAAAGGAAAATATTTTAAACGGCAGAAATATAGAAATGAAATAGGCTCCTGATCCTGCCCTGTCACCTCCAATGGGAACAGGAGAAAAGAGTACCCCAAATCTCTGAGGGGAGGTGGGCGTGTGTGGAATGGCCCACCTGTAGTCAGGAGTCTGAATTAGTGCCTGAGTGAATGCCACTCAACCTTCCTGGGGAGAGGTGATGTGGCAGTGGCGGCCCATCAGCTTCCTGTATTTGATTGGCAGGAGGAGCTGGAGTATGCTTGGAAGTGAGAGAAGGGAGAGGATTGTTAGGTCCTGAGGAAACTGAGTCAATGCTTTGGACTCTGAGCAGCTCCCCTGCCTCAGGGCCGGCCTCTGTTCTTTCATTGCAAGTGTCCAGCCCCCTGCTCCTGCACTCCTTGTTGTATATTTTCCCACTTTGGTAATGGAAACACACGGGTGTCTTCAGCCGCACCACTGTGGTTGTGAAAGTACACTCCTATTGGGGCGCCCATTGCAGGGGCTTCCTTCTTTAGCTTGTTCTCACCCGTTGTGTTTGTAGGTTTGTTCAACTGGGCCAGAGTCAACAGAAACAGGACAGGAGCAGCCAGCAGCCATGTTCCAGGTGCTCAGACGGTGTCATAAAATTGTAAGTACTAGGTACAACTTGGAAAACTTTTACATTTCATTTAACTGTTTGTTTATTTTGGTGTGTGCTTGTGTGTGTGCATGTGTGTGTGTGTGTGTGTATGTGCGTACACACGCGCATGCCTGTATGCACCACAACACACATATGGAGGTCAGAGGACAGCACAGAGGAGTCGGCTCTCTCCTTCCACCATATGGGTTCCAGAGATTGAACTTGGGTTCTGAGGCCTGGTGACGAATGCTTTTACCCACTGAGCCATCTCACTGGCCTTAAATCAAATCCTTAGGAAATCTGTGTCCATGCCACTTGTGGGGCGTGTGTGAGGACTCATGTCCACGTCACCAGCTTAGTATAATTCCACACATGAAAGCATTCTTCCTGCCACTTTCTTTACTGAAAACTGTGTCTTAGGGGCAGTGGTAGAGGTGGCGGAGAGGAGATGGGAGCCTAAAACTGCACCCCTTGACTTCCCTCCATGAACCCTACCCCTACCAGGAAGACCTCAGGTGTACCTCAAGAGCCACCAGAGTGGTGGTTCTCAGCCTTCCTAACACTGTGACCCTTTAACACAGTTCCTCATGTTTTGATGACCTCCAGCTATAAAATTATTTCATTGCTACTTCGTTACTGCGATTCTGCTGCTGTATGAATTGTAATGTAAATATCTGATATGCAGGGTATCTGATATGTGATCGCTAACGGGGTCACAACCCACAGTTTGAGAACCACCACTCTAGAGCATGGGTGGATTAGGCTCTGCTTACTACATGACCCTATCATTGCCAATAACTTGATGGGCATTAAACAGGAGGTTAGTTAATTCTTAACTAAACAGACCTGTATTCAGGTCACACCACTTGCTGGACCTGTATTCAGGTCACACCACTTGCTGGGCTGTTACAGTGAGCATACATCTAAAACACCACGTGACTGAGGTGCCTCCTCTGCAAAGGCATAGCACCTGCTGCCGAGGAGGGTGGCAAGATGGAAGCCAGCACAGCTCACACAGTGTCTGGAACAAGTGTGTAGTAAGGAGCCATCGTGGTCCTCTCCACTGCTAATCAGGATGAAGCGTGGGGCTGTGACCAGGAGAGGCTCCCAGGGAAGACATGCTCTGTTGAGTTCTATAAGATGGGCCATGGTGGGAGTTCAGGTGGGTTGGATGGGCAGCGTTTGGCACTGTTGGCATTTAGGAGATGCTCATTTCCCTGTCGTAAGTCAACTTGATCGATTCCATCGGTGTGTGGCGACGGGGGTGGGCAGTTGATGAGTGTGTTGCTCCAGGGGGTGGGCGGTTGATGAGTGGAAGAGCATGCGGTAGGGCCGTCACACCCCTGGAGGTGCCGTCTCTCCCTTCTTCCTCCCGTCTGTGTCTTTTCTCTTCTTGCGCTCTATTTTGGAGGCAAGGGAAGCCTATCAACTCAGTTAGAAGCCAGTTTTCTTCACTATAGCTACTTAACCTTTGGAAGTCTGAGTTGAAATCAACAAGACAAAGAAGAAAAGTAATGGAGCAGAAGACTTGGGTGGCTAAGTTGTGTGATTCCAACCATTCCATTAGAATAGTAAGATGTGGCTTCTTAGGAGACGATGACAAAGGGAAAGGAACAAACACATCTTCCTTGTTTTTCAGCCTTAGGTATACTATTTATCTTACTTACTACCTACTTACTTATTAACACACCAGCATGCTCTCTTGAGTCCAGCACAGGCAAAACCCGTGTGGATCCAGAAATGTATTTTAACCTTTCCCACTCAATTAGTCAAGAGTCTACCATGAGCATGTTTTTGTACAGCATCTTCAGCAGGATAACAAAGGCTTGGTAGGTGCCGCCTTCTGCTGTCATGGCAACTGCCACGCATGGTTTTGGAGAGGGTTGTGTGTGTGCCCTTTAAACTGAAACTCCATAACCAGGTTCTGAAAATGTCAACGGTTCGTTTTTAGATCTCTAGAACTGTGCCCAACCCAGCAGAAGCTAGGCTTGTGTGAGACCTTGAAGCCTCCTCTCCTGCAGCTTAGGTTCCAGTACATTTAAAATGATGACAAGCTCACTTTAAGTTCATATGCCTCTCCGTGTTTGCTCAACCCTGGTTTTTCCTGAATTTCTGAGGCCTCCCAGCTTTCATTTTCTAGAGTAGAGAGAAGTTACAATAGCAAATGTTAAATATAGTTTCACCAATAAAAACTTTCAAGAAGTCCGTGGCATGAAGGTGTTCTAAATTGTAGATACAGAAACTTGGATGGGATAGCTAGATACTCCCCTGAGACCTTGCAGAACGTGCCTAGAGGTTCACGCTAAACCTGCACTGGGCAGTTGTCTGGGTTGCCAGCACAAATACACAAACTGTTGTGTGTCAGCTTTCTGACTCACAGCCCCCCTGAGTATATGATTGGTAACCAGGAAGAATGACGTCACCTTTTTACTGTCCATTCAGTGTGAGATGGCCTCTGTCCTATGTGCTTTAGCCTGTATTGACTCAATTCCCAGAGAAACCTGAGGAAGTAGATTTTATGATGCCCACTGTACAGAGTGGGAAACTGAAGTCAATGCAGATGTTGTAACTTGCCCAAGCTGCTTCTGGTACCCATGGTGTCTGCCTCTTAGCTACAAACGTTTAGAGCTTGCAGCTGCCTTTTTAACCCCTGGAGTAGAAATGGAGGTTTATTAGCATTAACAGTCTACACTTTGGTCTTGTAGCATTACCAGGGTCTGTAGATACCTGTGTCTCCTATGTTTCCACTATGTTTCCCTTGAGTCTTGTTAAGGTTTAAGAAATTATACCTTTGTTTCTCTCTGTCTCTGTCTCTCTCTCTGTGTCTCTCTCTCACACACACACATGCACACACACACACACACACACACATATGCACACACAAACATCCTCATTGCACAGTGACACTGAGACTTCTGGGATAAATATCTGAGTTATTGGAGACCTGCTAGGTTACTCAGAGGGTATCCTGACTCTATTCTCTCAATCTTTGTAACAGATCTTAAGTTGGATGCTTATTAACTTTTCATTGAACTATACTAACCCCCAGTCCACATCCTCCCCCCTGCTCCCAGAGTCTGTATGAGGTCCTCCACATCCTTCTGGCTTCATCATCTCCTTGGCCCCCATTGAACACTTCTTAGGTGTACCCATCTTCTCTTTCCCCCTCATTTGCCCTTGTTTCTTTGTTCCCTGCTGAGTTGTGAAAGAAGTGAGCATCACCAGCCTTTCAGCCTTGTCCCTTTCTCCCTTGCTACTGTACCAGCGATGCTTGCAGAAGTGAAAGACCCTAAATGGGACTTGCCTTGCTTGGCAATTAGGGTGCTGTAAGGATGGGTGGTGTGCCTCTCTGTGCAAGACCAGCATGCTGCCATTTTCACACACCCCTGCAAATGCTCTGGGAGTTTTTATGCTAAACTGTCAATCAGTGGTAGGAAAAAGACATGATCACGTGTATTCTTAGTGCCTGCTGCTGTGTGGTATACATATTCTAGAAGGATGCATATGTGTATTCTCAGCGCCTGCTGCTCTGTGGTGTACACATTCCAGGAGGATGCACATGTGTGTTCTAAGTGCCTGCTATTCTGTGGTGTACACATTCCAGGAGGATGCACATGTGTGTTCTAAGTGCCTGCTGCTCTGTGGTGTAAACATTCCAGGAGGATGTACATGTGTGTTCTAAGTGCATGCCGCTCTGTGGCATACGTATTCCAGGAGGATACATTGCTCATTAAAAATTGCTTCTGAGAAATGGGTCCAAATACAAGGCATAGCCTCTGTGTGGATGCTGTCTGGCTTCGGGTTCTTCTAGTGCAGGAAAGGAGAAATGTAATGCAAGGTAAGGATGCAAGTTTTAGGCTTATGAGATGGCATGGATCCTGAAGGATAACTCACAGCCTGGCACTCAGGGGAGGCAGGCTCTTCCCAGTGACAGAAGTAACTCAACTGTAGTTCTTGATCTACTTCAGTAGCTCCCCATGGCCTCCCCTTGGGCCACCCCCCCCCTCCAGAAGTTGCATCTAGTTTTCTGTGAATCATTTTCCACCTCCGTTTGTAGAAAATGTAAGTATTTTATTATTTCCTTTTACAGTTTCATACATGTATATGATGAAGTTTATTCCCTTTCTCCCACGTCTGGGACCCTGTCCAATCCCCTTCCTCCCAGGAAGCATTTTATCCTTCATGAGTAACTTTATTATTTCTACCAAATAGGTCTAGTCCTCAGAGACCGTAAGGTTAAAGCAGCTGAGAGGCAGTGATGGTTGATGTGTCTGTTAATTCTGCCACAGGTGGGGGGAGATCATGGGTAATAAAGGCTCAGCCCAAGGATGCTGGGCCCCATTCTCTGCCCCGCCCACCCTTTGCCCCCTGTCTCTACCTGCTTCCTCCTGTCCTTTAGCCCTCTCTGATTTTTCTCTGTAGTTTTCTGTTACAGTTAATCTCTCTCTGTGCCTCTCTCATTCATTTTCGGCCTCATCTTATTTCCTCTTTTCTCCTCCATCTTAATTTTATCTCTTCATCTTCTCCGGTATATATTTGGCTATTAGAAAAAAACCCTTTCACTAACCAAAGTGCAGAGAGGTCTGTGCCATGCTCAGCCATAGTGGGACATCTCTGTCACACCCACACACCCCAAGATTCAGTGAGCATCTCAAAGGGGTGGCACACAGATTGATTGTAAGAGCCAGAGGTCTAGGGAGACCGAGACAAGACAGTGTTCTTCTGGACTCAACATGGTGTCACAGCCATGCACTCAGAGCAGCTCTCACTGTGCCATTCCTGCATCCCAGGAGCTGCTAACAGCCAGTCCTGCATCCCAGCATGGTTAGGGAGGGATCCGCTAAGGCCCCTAGCTGAGGAGCTGCTAACAGCCAGTCCTGCATCCCAGCGTGGTTAGGGAGGGGTTTGCCAGGACCTGCCCCTAGCTGAGATGGCAGTAGATGGCTGCTAATGGAAGAGAATCAGTTTTCTTAAGGGATGTGGTCCACAGTAGGTTGACTTTGTGTCTG